AAACTCAGCGATTTCGTGGCATTTTCCTTCGACCTGAGCCCGAGGCGAGCTCTGCTTGTCTGTGTGGTGGGGATGCCCCTGCCGCGTCTCTGGGGTGTCCCCACACCAGTGCAGCCCTTGGCCGAGCCGGGCAGGCGCCCCGGGAGTGCCGAGAGGTGGCGCGGGGTCCCCTCGCTCGCCCACACGCGGGCTGACCTGTCGCCCCGCTGCTCCTCGCCGCTCACGTCACGCTTGTTCAGGAGAAACGCTCGCAAAGGAGGAGGGGGGCTGGGCGGCCCCACGGCCTCGGCGCCACCGATGCGGTCTTCGATGCACACGGGTTGCACTCGCGCGCCTTCCCGCTGAAGGTCTGACACACGAGAGCATGTCTTGTCTGGATGCAGCAGACGGCGGAACCCATTTAGAATGGGCAGGTTTTGGGGGTTCTGGGGTGCCCCTCCCCTGCCCTGTAACAAAACGACTTTCCTTCTCCTCAAAACCGATCATCCTGGCGAAGGGGAGAGGCCAGGATTCCCGGGAACACGGGCTTTGATATCCCGAGTCCCCGCGCCTGCCCGTCTCTTGTGAGCGGGTGCGGGGGGTGGGGGGGGGCGGCCAGGCCTTGTTTGCCCGGGAGTTGGCGCCGTCCGGTGCGTTGCGCCAGCTTATCAAATGGTCTCTTATTTCCCACTTCTTGTTTCTTATCCTTACGCGCTTGATTATTTCTTGCCTTGTTTTGGAAATCGAAAGGCTTTATCCCATTTTTCTCTTTCGATTTCCCCAGACCTGTGCAGCTGGGAGCGGGCCTCACGCGCTGGTGGCCGGGGCGCCCTCCCGCGGGTCCCGTGGGCCTCGGAGTCCGAGGCTGAGCGTCTCTCTCCCGCCACCTGGCCCCGCGCGTGTTCCAGTTTATCCCCCCGCGGCTCAGGCGCTGGATGCTGTCTTGCTGCGAGACCGCCCCCAGGTCAAAACCATCTCACGCGTGGACGCGCCTCTCGCCTCCCCTTCCTGCATCTCGGACCTTCCATCGAAGGCCCCTCTTTCTAGAAGCGATCCTTTAGCTCTTCCCTAAGGAGCCCCGGCCCCGCAGCTCCGGGGAGCGGCTGCCGCCCCGCCCGGCCCTTGCACACACGGAGCTCAGAGCTGGGGCTGGAACCCAACAGACCTGCAGGAAGCGCCAGCCACGCGGCTGCCAGAGGCGCTTTCATGGGCATTTCCCCGAGAAAAAGTTCTCTCTGGAAAAACAAACGTGCAGGATGCAGTTAAACCCTCACGTGTGCGCTGGGCTGGGCTGGGCTGGGCTGGGCTGGGCTGGGCTGGGCTGGGCTGGGCTGGGCTGGGCTGGGCCGCCCTCACGAGGGGCCTCCAGGGAAAGACGCGAGGGCTTCGCGCGCCCTCCGCAGCGACGCCCGCTGACCGCGACGCGGCTCCGCTACTCCAGGCCGTGGACAGCCCCCCTGGCCAGCCCGAGCCCTGGGCCCGGCCCGTGCGCCCGGTGCCACCCGCTGGGGCCATGGGCCGGCGTGCGCCCCCTCCTGTTGGCGCTTCTGCGGCTCACTCTGAGAAGATAGTCCGTTCCTCTTGTTTTCCAACATCAGAAAACTTCATTTTGGGGAAACACACCCGTTACCCAAGCGATGTGCTTGTGAGCCCTGGGGGGGAGGGCGTCGGGCTGGGTGGTCGTCTTTCACCCCCTTCCCATCCTCCCTTGGCCCTTCTCGCGGGGACCCTCCCTCATTCCAGGCGCCGGTGGAGCCTGTGGAGCCTGTGGAGCCTGTGGCCTGGGCTTCCTGGGCTGGCTGCAGTGGCTGCCCCTCCCGCAGGGCCTGGCGCCGGCCTCTGCCCCTCCCCGGGCCCTTTCCTCTTCGCCCCGCATGGCACCCGCCAGCCGGCTCCTCTCCAGACCTGGGCTGGCCCCCGCTGACATGGGGGAGGTCAGGCTCTATCGGGAGCCCCTGGGCCAGGAGGGGCCTCGGCCTCTGTCTGTGGTGAGCGGTCGCCCCCCAACCCTGCAGCAGCCTCCTCCCGACCCCCGACGCAGCGGCAGACTCTGGCCGCGTTTGTTCCTGACAGAAGACTTGGCACCACAGGAAAGAATCCCGCAGGGTCAGAGGACAGAGCCCGAGGCAGAGACCACAGCAAGCTCCCCCTGGGGCTCCAGAGGCGGGTCCTTTCAGCCTCTCCAGCCTCCGGCAGCACCTGCGTCCCATGTGTCTACATCTCAAGCCCCTGCCCCCCTTCTCATAAAGACCCCTGTGTTGGATTTAGCCGCCCACACCCAGGGGGCTGAGAGCCCCAATTCCATCTGCAAAACCCTTTTCCAAGCAGGTTCCATTCACAGCACATCTTCTGGGGCCACTCTTTGCCCCTCCACACTGGACCAGGGTCTGTGGGCAGCACCAGCTTTCTCCCCCTGCACCTTGGACCAGGCAGAGGCTGGAGGAATGCCCTGTGGACTCTGCTGAAAGGGGGAGCCCTAGGGGAACCCCACGTCTGGCGGCAGAGATAGGATGCTCCCTGCAGTGGGAAGTGAAGCGGGAAGAGATCAGTGTGACCTGGTGTGGGTGGCGGTTGGGGGGAGCTGGGAGGCAGGTGTCCCTGGTGGGGAGTGGATTGGGGACATCTCTGGTGAGCTGGAGGGGCCTCCTGGGCAGTGCGGGCAAGGAGGGAAGGGGCCTGGTGTGTGCTGGGTTCCAGAAGGGGGTTGTGGGAGCTGTAGTAGGAGGAATGCCCAGCCGGGGACCGAGAGTGGACCCCAGGATCACCATGGACTGGGGCTGCTGGACTGAGGGGGGCTCCGCAGGCCGGAAACACTGACCTCTCCTTGTGTGGTAAGGGAGGGCGCTGGGGTGAGATCCCAGTAGTGGGGTCTTAAAACTGGAAGTCCTGTATTCTAGAACCTTCTCAATGGGCGAACTGGGGTGGCTGTGACATGGAGTGTTATTCTCTAAGAAGTGTGACCTCTGCTGAATGTCACTGCTCCCTGGGGCCTGGGGCCAGGCCTTCGCACCTCTGAGTCCCCGTCCCCCACCCCAGGGGCCAGCTGGGGAGGTGCAGGACATGAGTGATAAGGGCAATGCGGGAGGGAGGAGAGAGCTACGCCCCCCAGCCCTGGGGCTGGGCACGAAGGTGGGGGGGCTCTGCCCGGCCCACAGCTGGAGCTACCGCCTCTGGACCCTGCAGGCCAGGCTCCCTCCTCCCGTTTTCTTCAGCGGCTGAGCTACACTAGTAACCATGAAGGTCAGCCCTTCCCAAGCGTCCAGCTGGGTGCATCTCTGGGTAACCACCCTCGGAGCTCTTCATCTTCCCAACTCACATGCATCCTCCGGGCCCTTTCTCCACCCGGGGGCCGGGCTCCTAACACCGAGGGTTAGTGTTTCTGTGGCTAATGTCACCGAGGGCACCAGGAGCACCAGCCGGAAGCCCTCCCCTGTTGAGGGCTATCAGGGTCCCACAGCCAGGGCTGTGGCCCGGTTTATCTCTCCAGCCCTGAGCGTGCACAGCTCAGTGCCCTGCCCTGCTCGGGTGGGGGTGTCTGGGCCTGGCGGCCCCTCCCTCTGGCCGCCTCGGCCCTGCTGTTATCAGGTCTGGACAGTGGCATGGGAGGTGCCTCCCCGGGCCCCCTGGGCTGCAGGGTGCCAACTGGGCCCAGATGCCTCCATCCCCGTGCCTCCTCCACTGGCACCTGCCGGGTCCCACTGGGGCGTGTGGAGGGCATTGGGGCGTCCAGGCTGGGGAACCAAAGTGCGGCACGCAGGGCCTGGCCGGTCTCAGCAAGCGCGTGCTCTCGCTGACCGCTGCCCCACGACGCTGTTGTGGGCACAGGCTGGCACGGGTCCCTGCCGTCGTGGAGGGGACTTTGGGGAGGCAGGGCACGCCCAGCCCCGTGGGGCCCCTGCAGCCACCTGCTTGGAGGAACCGAGGGGGAAGCCGCACCTTCGCGCTCACGCTCGCCCGGGGCCGCTCGCCTGCACGCCGCAGCAGGGACACCCCGGGGCTTGAGCCACTGCTCCCGGGTCGGACCCGGGACGCCCCCATCCCACGGTGCAGAGGTCGGGCTCGAACCCGCTCCAGCCGCCTAGGCCCGGCCCCGCCCACGACTCCCGGCGGGAGGCCACGCCCCTTCGAGGTGGCCCGCCCGTTTCTCCGCGGGAGGCCACGCCCCCGGGCGTGGCGTGCCCGGCCAATCAGAGCGCCTCGCGCAGGCACGTCCGCGCCGTCTCCAGGTGAGCGAGCTTTCCCAGACTGCTCCGCGGCCTCCGAGGCGGGGCCGCGGGCCGGCGGGCGCGCCCCCGAGAGCGCGGTCCGGCCGTGGCGCGCGTCCGCCGTCGCGTCTGGAGCCGCCGCGCGTGGGGCGGGCCCGGAAGTCGCGCCGCCCAGCCCGGCCGCCGGAAGCGGTCGCGGCGTCGCTCCTTCCGGCCGGCGCTCGGGCCGGGCCGGGCCGGGCCGGGGCGCCCATGGCGGAGGGCGGCGGCCCCGAGGGCCGCGCCGGGCCGGGGCCCGCAGGTAACGTGCGCGCGGCCGCCGGGCGGGCCGGGTCGGGCCGGCGCGCCTCGCGGCCTCTCGCGGTGGGCGGCCGCCGCGGGGCCGGGAGGCGGCTGCGCAGGCGCGTCCGCGCGGGGCCCGGCGGGCGCTCCTGTGACGTGCGGCGGCGCCTGCGCGGGGGCGTCTCGCCGGGCTCGCTGCTCCGCGGCCGCGGCCAGGAGGGCCTGGCCCCCGACCCAGCTTGTCGCACTGCGGGCGCGGCGCCCCCTCCCGCGCGCCCCGACCCGGCCTGGCCCTGCGGCGTGGGGACGCCGGCCGGCGAGGGTCGGCCCGCGGGCTCCCGTCGGCGTGCGCTCTGCCCCGGGCCCGCCGGCCGCGGGTGCGGGTCTGGGACGAGGCCGTGGGGAGAGGGCGGGAGCCAGGCCCGGCTGCGGCGAGCGGGCCCCTCCGCGACAGCCCCGGCCCCTCGCTGCCTTCGGCCCTGGCGCGCGCAGAGGCCCCGGCCGCGGACTCGAGCTTGTCTTTGGGCCGCGGAGGCCGCTTTGCGCGCGGCTGGAGTGGGTGGGGAAGAGGCGCGGGGCTCCTGGGCTCCCACTTGCCGGTCAGCCGTTGCCCCGCCCCGCTGAAGCGCGCCCCCTCCTGCTCTGACCTTCGCCCTGCGGGGTGAGCTGGGGGTGATGGCAGTGGCGCATCGGGTGGACGCCAGGAGGGTGCCCCGGGTCTGGCTGCCCGCCGCTCTGGGCCCGGGAGGGGACATTCCGGGGCGCTGGGTGTTGGGGAACCTTTGCTGCCCTGCCCACCTGCCCGCGGCCATGGAGTCTCCCCTCTGCTAATGGACTCAAAGAGCAAATCCTGGGGGGGCAAGGGAACTTGCTCACTACCCCCTTGTACTGTGGCCAAGACTTGTAGACAGTAGGTGCCCAAAAGGGATTTGACTTGAATCCAAAAAGCGACTTCCGTTATCACAACGGGCCCAGACACGGCGGGCAGTGCGGGGTGGGTGGGGCGGGGCGGTCCGGGGGTGCCGAGTTCATCCTTTGCCTTTGCTCCCGTCTCTGCAGTGTTGTCTCCAAAGCGGTGAGCTGTTGGGGGGCTCCAGTGTGCATGGAGGCGCTCGGCTGCTGGCAGACAGGTCTCTAGGTGTAGGAACGGACTGTTCACATCGTGTGGGCTGCGGTGACCGAGCCGTGGCCCGTGCAGAGGAACAGCACAGGCTTATTTTCAGTTCCGGCCACTGGCAAGGCCGCAGCCAGGCGCCAGCTGGCCCTTCTCCCCTTCTGGCTTTGTTCTCAGCACAGCAGGGCAGAGCGGAGCGGCCTGTGCACCTCTGCTGGGGTGCTGGCCGCCCGCCCCGCCCCTCGCAGACGCTGGTGTCTGTGTCTGTTGCGCTCAGGCCAATGGGTCCCTGTGGGCACCACCCCGGCCTGGCGACTGGCGGGCTTTGGTGGGCATTGAGTTTTGCCCATTTCCAGCGCCTTTGGTGGTGGCGGGGACTTCCCCAGGGGAGACAGTGTGCATTTGGGGAATAAAGTGGAGTGATCTTATGATGGACTTTCGATGTGATTTTACTTTCACTTTGCTGTGCGCCTCATTGACCCTCCCCAGCCCCCAGCATTCAAAAAATGTTACTGGTGTTAGGAATGAGCTAGCTTGGCCCAGGGGGACGTTCTGCATTTCTGGAGGTGCTGGAGTGTGGGGTGACGATGCTGGAGTTTGGGAGGAGGAGCTGCAGAGGGGGCCATGCAGAGGGCCCCGCCGCCCGAGCTGAGGGAGCCCCTCTCCGGCTCAGGTTCCAACCTGAAGGAGTGGCTGAGGGAGCAGTTCTGCGACCACCCGCTGGAGCGCTGCGAGGACACGCGGCTGCACGACGCGGCCTACGTGGGGGACCTGCAGACGCTCAGGAGCCTGTTGCAAGAGGAGAGCTACCGGAGGTGAGCGTGGCTGCCCTGGCCGGCTGGGGCGGGGGCGCCCCTGGGTTTGGCGCTTCTGAGGCACGTGGCCCTCTTCGGTTTGCAGGTGACGACCCTGATGCGCGGAGGGTGCCTCCAGGGTCAGGGGCGGGGAGGGAGTAGCCGGAGAAACTCAGGCAGCCACTAGGAGACAGCCTGGGGGGCGCGCGCCGAGTACCGTCGCTCTTTTCCGGCTCCTTTTGGGCGCCGGCTTCCTCTTCGCTGCTCCTGGCGCTACCACTGCACCCTCCAGCGGCGGCCCCAGCCTTGCTCTCGCCCCGGAGCAGCACAGAAGGCACAATAAGGCCACCTGTCTTGCCTGTTTCATCTGTGGGCCCAGACGGCCCACGTGCCACCCCCGGGCCCCCGGTGTCCACGCCTCTCCGCTTCGTGGGCGCTCAGGGGCTGGGCGCAGCCTCGGGCCAGCTGACTGGGCCATGCTGGGAGCTCAGCCTCTGCCCTCAGTCCCTCGGGCCCCTGCTGCTGGCTCCGCCCTTCCTCACGAAGGTCCCCGGGTCTCCCTGCTCCTCTCCCCTGGGGACGCGGCGGGGCGGCCAGTCCTTGCTCCCTGGGTGTTCTCCGTGTGCCGGGCTCAGCTTGAGTCTCGGCTAGACGGGAGGCTCGTCTGCGAGTGGAACCCACTCCACGCTGCCTCCCCCCCCCCCCCCCCGCAGCCTGGCAGCGGGCAGGCCGTGCCTTCTCCTGCTCCTCCCGACATCACGGCGTGCTCCCGGCGTGCTCCCGAGAGGAGACGTCAGCATTTTCACGGAGCTCCAGCCGCGCAGAACAGCTTGTCTTACAAAGACCTCAGGCCTTAGGGGTGAATATTTCATGGCGGACCCCAGCCCAAGGAGATCCTCCCTCGCCCGCGCAAGCGGACCCCAGCGTGCGGCCGCCGGCTGTGTGTGCTCGGGGTGCTCCTGGGCCGCTTTTTCGCTGCTGGGGCCAGGGAGCGCCCCGTCTCGCCATCCTGGCTTCCTGTTCCTGTGTTTTTTTGGCGACAAGTCCTTTCTCGGCTCCTTGGCTGAAAGAGGGAGCCCAGATCTCCTGTGTTTTGGGGGTCACTGTTCAGGGCTCTGGGTCCCCCAAGTTTTGTTCAAAGCTGCATGGGGAGTTGAGGTGAACCTGCCTTGGTGGTTCAGTGTCCTGCTCGCCACGGCAGGTGCTCTGGCTCAGGTGGTCACTCTGGAGAGCTGTCGGCTGGGAGTCCGCCCCGAGGGGTCCCTGACTCCCCAGGCCGTCCTCTCCGGGTCAGCGGCGGAGGACCGCGGTGTCGCGGGGCTGTCACATCCGCACCGGCTGTGCTGTCCGCTGCCCCCTCTGCCTCCCGGCAGACCCTCCGCCAGCAGCGCACTCTGGCCCGGCTCGGGGCTCGCCAGGTCTGGGTGCCAGAGCCCCTCCGGGCCAGCCGGCCTTGCGCGGTGGACGCTGCTCATCATGGGCCATGGCCTGCGCGGGTGCTGCAGCCCGCACCTGTGCCGGGCGGACACGCCGAGACAGCCCCACACGGAGGTCGGCGCGGCAGAGCCCGTCGTGTGTGGAGATGGTCGCCCACGCGCAGGGAGTGGGACGCAGCCCCTGGCCACTCGCCCGCGCCCTCACCCGCCCTCTCCCGCCCTCGCCCGCAGCCGCATCAATGAGAAGTCGGTCTGGTGCTGCGGCTGGCTCCCCTGCACGCCGCTGCGCATCGCGGCCACTGCGGGCCACGGCCACTGCGTGGACTTCCTGATCCGGAAGGGGGCCGAGGTGGACCTGGTGGACGTGAAGGGGCAGACCGCGCTGTACGTGGCCGTGGTGAACGGACACCTGGAGAGCGCGCAGATCCTGCTGGCGGCCGGCGCTGACCCCAACGGGAGCCGGCACCACCGCAGCACGCCCGTGTACCACGCTGCGCGCGTGGGCCGCGCCGACATCCTGCAGGCGCTCATCAGGTCAGTCCCGCGGTGCCGCTCCGGCCCCTGCTCGCCTGCCGTCTGCGTCTTGATTCTTTCCCGCTTCTTTCATTTCACGGGATTTTCCCCAGGGTTCGGATGGCTTGTGTTTTTCTTTAGCGGTCAAGGCTGTGGCTGGGCCTCAGCGGCTGGCGCTGGCCGCAGCTGCCGAGCCTGGGTGTGAGCCGGCGTCATGACGCTTGAGCTCCCCGTTGTCCTGAGCGCCGTGGAGGGGAACGTTGTGATAAAATGCTTAGAACGTCCAGTCGTCGTGCATCGTGCATGGGTAACCCGGACCCTATGTTCTTTCCCGGGGACTCTGATTTTCCCCCAGGCCACCCTCTGCTGTCGAGCTGCCCTGTGGCGGTGCCTGAACCGGAGCACCCGACGGGGCGCTGTATTTGCACGGGAGAAGGTGGAGGCCCACGTACTGTGGCCCCGGGGCCCCCTCTCTTCTTGGCCTCTAGCTGCCCCCCACGCTCGGGGCCTCTTGCGCCCCTCAGGGCCGGGACTCGGCTTCCCCGGCCTGTGCTAACCGAGCTCGTGCCGGGCTGTGGCCCCGGCCCTTGTGGCCCGGGCTTTATCTTAGGGCTGAGTCTTCCTCGTGTGCTGCTTCCACGGCTGCTCTGGAGCCTGTCTTCTCTTGGAAACACGCGTCATGCTGGCTGTCGCCGGCCTCTGTTGCGCCCCCGGGTCTCAGCTGTCCTCTCCGTGGCCCGTCCGCGGGCTGTGCTCTGCCGCGCGTGGCGCCGTCTGCTCCCGCTTGCGCCGCCGGACGCCGTTATCACGGTTTCTGTGGCTCCACGTCGCCTTTTAGTTTCCCGAGGCCCCTTCCTCGCAGGGGTGCTTCCCTTCGCTCTGGAGGCGCCGCCTTCTGGCCGAGTGCGCTTCCGGGAGCCTGTTCGCAGCGTTGGGAAGGCCTAGGCCGAGCTCCGGTGCGCCCGCAGTGTGTCGGTGGGGGCGGAGTGAGCCGCGAGGGCCAGGCCTTCCCTTCACCCGGCGCAGAGCTGCTTTCGCGTGAGCGCGGGGAAGGCGTTTGTTCCGGCAGGAGGTTTTGTGTGTAAGCGGTGGTGAAACTGCCGTGGAGCCGACCGCGGGTGCCGAGGCGGCCGTGCGCCCTCCCCCGCTGGCTAAGGGCTCCCGCTGATCCTCTGGCCACCTCCTCCCCGCGTCTTGAGACCCGGAGAACGGGAGCCGCTGGGTCGGACATGCTGGCGAGTCGGACCACTGATGAAATTCCATCCCTTTCCAGAAAGCCCCCGGGCGTGTCCGGCAGCTCAGGTCACGGCTGCAGGCTCCACGGAGCAGCGCCGCCGCGGGACATGGCCCTTGCCTCGCGGGCAGCTGGAGCGCGCGGGCACCTGGTCTGTGGACGGGTTGTCTGTGCTCCAGCCCGGTGCTCTGCGGCCTGATCTGGGGAAGGGGCTGCTGGGGCTCCGTCGCCGAACAGAGCATCACGTCCCGGCCCGCCCTCCTCCCTGCGCTCGTCTGTGCAGCTCGCTGTCCCTCTGTGAGTCGCCTCTGCTGTCACCCCGGAATTCCTGGTAGCACCTCGCTTTTTAAAAAGCAAGGAGGGGTGTTTCTGTTGGTGCAAAGCCAGCGTGATTTGCGGTGCTGTCCGGGGGGCTCCTGACCGTGGCCTGACGAGCAGCGGGGACGGTGGACACTGCTCGGGATTACAGGGAACTGGCTGCCGTCCAGCGTACTTCAGGAGGGCTGTGGGGCCTCTTCCCACGCTCGGCCAATGCTGATTGTCCTCTCGCCCAGAATCACCAACGTCTGGGGACACAGTCCCGGGAGCGAGGAGGGAAGCCACGGCTGGAAAGCCCGCTCGGCGCGGGTGGGAGCTGAAACTCTGCTTTCTGCTTGGTGGGCCTCAGCGCGTCCCTCGTCATCCCGGAGAAGGCGGCGCCCCTGCATCTGCGGGTGGGTGACTGGGAGCGGGGCCTGGGTGCCGGGAGGTGGGGTGGTTCTCCTGCCCGGGTGCTGCGAGGGGCCGTGGCCACCCCCCCTCCCCCCGCGGGGACTGCTGGCCTGACCAGCCCCTGCCTGTCCCGGCTTCCTGGCTGGATGGGGGGCCTGGGGAGGTCCGGGGGGGCCTCTGGCGCAGCCCTCTCCTCCTCGGCCTCGGGTCCCCTGCTCCCTGCTGCGCTCTCGCCCGACCGCGCCCGACGCGCTGCCGCCCTGGCTGGGAGGCCTTTTGGGGGCGGCACGGTTCAAACCCTTGCGCGCCCGTTTCTCGCTGTAGTTTACTTTCCTCGCTTGTCTGCGTCGCTGCCCCCCCCCCCGCCGCCCCCGGCCACTGTATTTTTATTTATTTATTTTTAAAGATTTATTTATTTATACAAGAACTGGGGTACAGGTCAGAGGCACAGGAGGGTGAGAGGGTTCACCAGAGCCAGAGCGGGGAGCACAACAGGCAGACTGATGAAATACACTGCTGAGGGGAGCAGCGGGCGAGACAGGAGAGGTCTGTGCGCCATGTGGGTAGCTCCCAGAAAATCGAACCCGCGCTGCAGAGGCTGCGGACAGCTTCACAGCGCTGCGCTCAACCCGCTGCGCCACCAGGGAGGCCCGAGATGTCTTACCTAAACCGCGCTACCACAGCGCTCTTTTCGATTTTATCGTTGAGTCTGTTTCCTTCTGTGTGCTCCCGTGAAGACTGTGGGTTTTGCTGCTGTAAGAGGTTCTCTCACTGCCTACTACAGTTTCGTTCATCAGGTAGGACTTTCTGGATGGATGGCGTCCTCCAGAGGACCGTCTGCCTCGCCCCTCCAGCCCTAGTCAGCCTGTGACTTCTTCTGGCCAGTTGTGCTAATGCTTTTACTTGCAAAGCCTTTAAACATCGTGGGCCTGAAAATCGGGGCGTGGGTCTTGGCCTGCTGTTGGCAGGAAGCTGCGGGTGTCTTCCCGGTAGGTACGACGCTGGCTTTGGGGGTGGAGGGAATCGTTTCCCTAGGTCGAGGACCTCACACCCCTTCCTGTTCTGGTAGCTTAAGCAGGTGAGCGCTGAGTTTTGCCCCGTGCCTTCTTGCGCCCGAGGAATAATCGCGATGCTCCCCTCGGTTCTGCAGGCGTGATGGATGGCGCTGAGTCCCGGCGCTGGCACTGGTGTTCTTGGAATCACCCCCGCGAGTCGTGGCATGCTGTTTTCATAAGTGCTTTTGGGTTCTCTTCCCTGACTTTGTGGCCCGGGTCATTAAGTGGGTACTCACGCATGAAAATAGTTGGTAGCGTTTCTTCTTGGTGTGGCCGTCGCCAGATCGGGTTTGCAGTTACTGTTTTGATAATTCACAAGGTGAGTTTGCAGTTTTCCTGCCTTTTTTTTGCCCTGAAATACCTGAAATAGCTCTGGGGATGGCGGGCTGTCAAAGGCCTGAGAGAATTCTCTTCCAGGTTTGTGTGCGTGGAGGGCGGTCTCAGCTGCCGTCTCACCTCGCCGGAGCCCCCGAGGCCTGTGGCCGCTGTTGTCTCGGGGCTCCCCGCGCGACCCGAGCGCAGGCTGCTGTGTGGGCCGCGGTGCGTCTTTGCAGGCTCTGACTCTCCCCGTGTCTCCTCGGCAGGTACGGGGCTGACGTCGATGTCAACCACCACCTCACCCCGGACGTCCGGCCCCCCTTCTCCCGGCGGCTCACCTCCTTGGTGGTCTGCCCCTTGTACATCAGCGCGGCCTACCACAACCTCCAGTGTTTCAAGCTGCTCCTGCAGGCTGGGGCGAACCCTGACTTCAACTGCAACGGCCCTGTCAACACTCAGGGCTTCTACAGGGGCTCCCCGGCCTGCGTCCTGGATGCCGTCCTGCGTCACGGCTGCGAAGTGGCCTTCGTGAGCCTGCTGGTAGAGTTTGGAGCCAACCTGAACCTGGTGAAGTGGGAGTCCTTGGGCCCCGAGTCGAGAGGCAGAAGGAAGGTGGACCCTGAGGCGCTGCAGGTCTTCAAAGAGGCCAGAAGTAAGTGGACGGTCCCTCTCGGACTTGCTGCCTGTTTGGGGCAACTGAGTGATCCGCGTTGTAGCAGTTGAAAAACAAAACCTCTTCCGCCAAGGGTTCGGTCGTCGTCATTAGGAATAAGAATTTCCCAGAATGCTCTTTCAGGTCACCCTTTAAATTCCTCCACACTGAGAGTTGACGCAGGAGATCTGTAAGCGCGCGTGTTCGCCAGGTTCCTGCAGAGCATTTTCTTTACCCTCTTGCTGTTTTTCGGCCTCCTCACCCGGGCCCTCGCCTTCCTCTCTTCTGTCCCGCCCAGTTCCGTTCTGTGGGTGTGCGCTCCCTGACTTTCGTGAGACTCAAGTCCGTGTTTGGGGCTCCTGAAGGAAGATTTTCCTCACGAGTTCACACCCCAAGGCCAGGTTGTTGTGATTCCAGGACCCTCTGCAGGCGCAGGACCCCTCCTGCCGGGCCTCAGAGCCTGAGTCCACACCTCCTCTCCAAGCCCTTGCCTCTCACAGAACTTTCTGGTTCTTTGTGTTTCTCTTACTGCGTTTCCCGAGAGCGCAGTGATGGCCCCGGGGCCGCGCTCCCGGAGGCACCAGCAGAGCCCTGCCAGGCCGGCCTCCTCGCGCACTGCTCAGCCCGCCGGGCGCTGGGCTGCCGGGGGCAGCTGCTGACAGCAGGTCAGCGCCCATGGCTCCCCGCCCATGGCTCCCCGCTGGGCCTTCGGTGCGGCTGAGTTCTCTGCCCGGGACTCGGCCCTGGGCGAGGCGCCCCGGGTGACGCATGTCCCCTCCTGCGGATGGGCAGTTGCCGGGTCTCCCCCGCCAGCCGCTCCTGCTTAGCTCACAGCCTGCCCGCGGAGTCCAAGGAGTGGACCCCTCCCGCATCTCTCCTCTCTCCCGCTGCTCCAGGTGCCCCCCGGACCTTGCTGAGTCTGTGCCGCGTGGCCGTGAGAAGGGCCCTGGGCAAGTGCCGGCTCCGCCTCATCCCCACGCTGCCGCTGCCGGACTCCGTGAAGCGGTTTCTGCTGTTCGAGTAGCCGGGAGCACGTGTCTGCCCTGGGAGGACGTCGTGCGCGTGCTGCGCGGGACCCGTGCCTGGGGGCAGAGGCGCCTGGCTCCCGACCGTCACCGCCTGTCGCTGCCTGTCGTTCTCCCTCCCCCGCCTCTGTTGGGATTTGCACGGCTGCCTGTGGTAGAAGCAGGTCTGGGGTGTGCCGTGGGCGCCGAGCCGGGGCCTCACCCCAGCGGGCAGGACGCCCAGCCCACCCCAGAACTCGGCTCCTGCTGGCATTTACGTCGAGTTCTGTTGTTCGATTAAATCCTCTGACAACGACGTGGACGGGCGTCCTGGGGAGGACAGAACACGGAAGCGCGGCTCCCGAACTTGCTGGTCTGTCTGCTGTTCCTGCCTGGCGCCGAGCTCCCTGGTGTGATGGTCTCGGGCGCGCCTTCGTGCAAGGCTGGCTCCCGGCCCGGGGACTGCCTGTGTTTGCGCCACGTTGGTGTGTGCAGAGCTCCAGCCCACTCTACACCCAGCTGTGCCTGCACCGGCCGACAGGTCTGTGCGTCTCTGCCCTCTGCTGGGGCCTTCTGGACACTGACCTGGAGGCCCGCCCGCCTTAGCCAGCAAGTGCCTGCTGCGGCCCAGGACCTTCCGCAGTATCACTGCCACTTCTGAGAGGGATGTGCCTATGGCACCGTCTTCCACGCCTGCCCACGCCAGGGCTGGTGCTGGGCGTGGTGACCTGCTGGCCGGCGGGCAGTTGGTTGATTGATCTCACTTTTTGGGGCCTGATGTCCTGGTGGTTGGTCCTAGAACCCGAGCAGGGGTGGACATGAGGGCGCAGGCTGTCCCTGACCTGCCCGGAGTGGTGGTCTGGGAGCGGGATGGCTGCTCGTGACCCCGGCGTCCTCGGCCGTGGGCTGGCCCCCACTCCGTGGGCTGGCCTGCAGGTGTGGGCTGGCGCTTAGGTCTGGCCAGCCTTCCAGGACCGCGGCTTGTGGTGATTCCAACCTCAGGGAGCTTGGGGACAGGCAGCTTCCGGATTCCTGTTTAGAGTTTCTGTAATAGGAGGAATTAGCTAGTGGCCCTTGAGCTAATGAGCGGGCCTGTCGGCTCCTGAGCGCCTGGTGTGTCGGCAGCCAGGGCTCTGTGGCCAGCGGGTGGCCTGCTAGCCGCCTCGTGCGAGCCGTGAGGATATAGCCGGCGCGCCTGTGGTCTGGGGCTGTGCTGCCCTCCGTGTGCTTGTGTGGGACGGGGGCGGCTCCCCGGGATCGGGCTGGGACCGGGGCTGTGCGCCAGGAAGCGGCATCTGCAGGGCTGCTGGAGTGGCTGTGGATGCGCCAGCCGGTTTCTGGGGCGCTGCCCTCTCCCCCTGGGCCCAGCTTCTCTTTTTCCAAGCCAGCCTTGGCTGGTTTTCCCTGAATCCCAGATACTTGGGATGTGGCCTCTGGTTTGGAACGTCACAGCCGTCAAACCGAATGTGAAACAGGAGCTGCCCGAGATGCTCATTCTTCCTGCTTTGAGCAGCGCTTTCCCCAGCTCCCTTCTCGTGTCGGCAGGGACAGGTCGGGGGAGGAGCGGGGTTTCCACGGAGCACTTTATAGACTTGTTTCTAGGCCCTGGGGTGCCCAAGTCCATGTCACAAGGAGATGTAGTGACCCCGAGGCCGCTCTGCCACCCGCCTCACGTCCACCGGAGGGCGGGGAGCCCAGCCCTGGAGCCCGACGGGCCCCCCCAAGGCGCCTGCAGGGTCTCGGCCCTGGCTGCTCGGGCGGGCTGGGCCGGTCCTGCCCCCGCTCCGAGTGCAGCTGTGCACCAGGGTCACACACGGCTGTGCCTTTCCGCGTTACTTGTGTTATTTATATATTTATTTGCTGCACCCGCTTCGTTGGGAAGGATTTGAGGCAGGAAGCCTGGTTTTTGATACTCTTTTGATATTTGGTAAGTTGGCAAACAGGTAATTTTGTAAAAAGACAAGAAGCAGTTTGCACGGGTAAACATTTCTGTTGTCAGGCTCTTAAGTGCCATCGTTTTACGTTTTCTTCTTCCCTGAGTTGGCCCTTCAAAGACAGGGTGCCCGCAGGTCTGAGCAGGGAGGAGCTGTGCAGACAGCGCGCTCTGGCCCGTGTCCCTGTCGGCTCCGGGGGGCGGCGGGGGGCCGTGGGGCAGCGTGGCTGCAGCTCCTCCGGAGGGCGGCTTCTGGCCCTGCCCTTCCCGCGGGCGCTGGGGGCGCAGCGGAGCACGGCTGTGGCAGTGCTTCCTGCAGAGCCGTCCCTCTGGCTCGCCACTGTCCTCGCCACTCCTGTCCCTCCTCTAGGGTGTGCAGGAGGTGGTGGTGGTGCCTCGGGGTCAGCATGACCTTGGGTGCACGCAGAGGCAGGGAGGGAGTGTGCTGGCCCCCCGCACAGGCCTTGGGCGCCGAGGCCTCCCTGGCGGCGAGAAGAGCGTGTTGGCCGAGTGCTGTCCGGCCTGTCCAGGGTCAGCCCCTTCCGGGTGGTGAAGGGGACAGTGGAGGGCCATGTTTTTCTCGTGCCCTGCCCTGCCCAGCATCTCTCTCAAGTTGGCTGGTCTTTGAAGTCCCCAGTGGGCCGCCCCCCAGCAGTGGCTCGTTTGTGCAAGGACAGGCGCCTCTGGGCTAGCTGGGGGAGGCTGAGGCGGGGGAGCAGCCGGGCTCACCCCTGCGCTGAGTCTCTGTGGTGGTGGCCCTGGCACCCCGGCCCCGAGAGGCCCGCCCAGGAAGTGCCTGTGGCCTGCTCTGCGAGGCCCCACCCCACTCTGGGCCTGGCGCCCCTCGCCTGGTGGGGGCTGCAGGTGTCCCCCTTCCCTGCTCCACAGGCTCCCCTCCCCCGCGGGCCCCCTGGTGTGGGCACAGTGACCGACGGGCGCGGGTGAGTGTGGTGGTGACCGGGGCCGGGAGTACCGTGGGGGCCTGGCTGCCTTGAGCCTGGCCTCGGCTTCCGGCTTCCCGCTCCCTCCGCCGTGCCGAGTGCCGTGACTCGTGGGGTCCGAGTGGGCGTTGTGGGCGCCGTCCCCGAGGCGCTCCTGCTGCCCACCGCTGCCGCGGGGCTCTGGGCACAGAGGCGTGAGGCTGGCGGGCTGGGGCAGGGGATGCGCAGGCCTGCTGGGTGGCCTTTGGGCCTCGGCGAGGGCCCGGCCGTCGGGCTCCGAGTGGGCTCAGAGCTGTCCCGAGCGGGGCGGACCCCTGCCGCGGTGCCGTCCCTGCCTGAACGCGTCCTGCCCGCCCCGAATGCCCGCGCCCGTGGGCTGTCCCGGGCCGGCGGCCTGCCCGGAGCCGATGCGCGCGTGTTCCCGGGAGAGGCGCTGGCCCTCTGCGGCGTCGCTGAAGATTCTGCGAGAAGGATGTGTGTGGCCCGGGCCTTCACGTCACCCTGAGGGGCCCGGCGGTCCTGGGAGGCACCCGAAAGTGTCTGAAGCCCAGGACTGCGAGCCTGGCGGCCCCCATCGCACCATAGGGCGGGCCGGGGCGAGACTGTGGGCAAGACCCTGGCTTCCCGGCCCCGGGCCTGTGGCTGACTGTGCGGGAGGGTGGACTTCAGGGGGCCCAGGAGTCGGGGGCCCAGGAGCCCTTCTCTGGAGAGCATCGGCGCGCGTGTCTGTCCGCTCTGCAGACCCTTCAGCCTCGCCCTGACCACCCGTGCCCCCCCCCCCCCCCGCCCCCAGCATCGCGCCAGACGGGAAAGTGGTGAATGGGTCCAGCTGGGAAGCCCCTGAGAAAGAGTAAACGAGAGACGAGAGTGAGAGCCTCCGACCGGTTATTGCCGCGCCGCGGGGCGGGAGGGTCCCGCCCTCCCTGGGTTGGCCGGGGCTTCCCCCACCCGCAGGGCCCGCGGTCAGCCCTGGGCTGGGCAGCCTCGTCCCGGGACGCCGGGAGCCTGGGTTAGGAAGATGCTCGGGCTCCAGGAGACGCGGGGACCGGGTCAGGAGCCAGGGTGGCCCGGACTCACGAGGTGCCACTGGCCGGGGCGGGGCCGCCCGTGTGCCCCGGGGAGCTGCCCAGCCGGTTTGAAGGTCGAGCTCAACGCCTGGCCTGGATAGCTTAATAGGTTGCGTCCCACACGCCTTCTCCAGGCCGGGGGACAACACCCCATGGGTGCGGCCGTGAGGACCCCACCCTGAGGGGGCTGGTCCCAGCGCAGGGGGGTGGCCCCGCGGGGGAGGCTCGCAGAGGGCAGGGGCTCCCCTGATGGCACAGCCTCTGCGCCTGCTTTTTTTTTTAATATGTAAAGAGCAGGTTTATTAGGGGAGGGGCGGCCGCGCGAAGGGCCCGGCGCGCACACCGCGGGCAGGAGGCGCTGCCCCGAGGGCCAGGTTTGCCGAGAGGCCCGCGCGGCGGCGGGCGCGGCCCTGGGGAGAGCGGCCTCCGCCGAGGGGTCAGTGAGGAGAAGCCCCGGCGGGCGCGGCCCTGAGGAGAGCGGCCTCCGCCGAGGGGTCAGTGAGGAGAAGCCCCGGCGGGCGCGGCCCTGAGGAGAGCGGCCTCCGCCCAGGGGTCAGTGAGGAGAAGCCCCGGCGGGCGCGGCCCTGGGGAGAGCGGCCTCCGCCGAGGGGTCGCGAGGAGAAGCCCCGGCGGGCGCGGCCCTGGGGAGAGCGGCCTCCGCCGAGGGGTCGCGAGGAGAAGCCCCGGCGGGCGCGGCCCTGAGGAGAGCGGCCTCCGCCGAGGGGTCGCGAGGAGAAGCCCCGGCGGGCGCGGCCCTGGGAGAGCGGCCTCCGCCGAGGGGTCGCGAGGAGAAGCCCGGCGGGCGCGGTCGCGGGGGCAGGGGCCGTGCTGCGGGGGGCGAGGACGAGGAGGCCCCACGGTCACCAGCGGGCGGCCCCGGAGCTCCTGCCCGTGCGCTGCTGAGCGGGGATCGCGCGCCTGGACACCGTGGACGCGGCTTGAAGGAGGACGGGGGGCGGGGCGCGGAGGGAGTTACCCCGGGTGCGCGGGGCCCGGGGGGTCAGCATCGCCGATCGAGCCCGCGGGACCAGGGGCGGCGGGCGGCGGGCCTCGTCCCGCTATCCGCGAGGCCCGGGGCTGCTGGCGGCGGGACCGAGGCCGGCAGCGCGGCCGGGAGGGGGTGGCGGGGGGCGGCAGCGTCGTGGGGGCGGCCGGGCAGCCGCGAGGCCAGGCGCTGCTGCTGCTGTTTTTCCTAAAAAGATGGTTTTTAGCTCATGCAGCCGTGACGGGGCGGCCCTGGCACACAACGGGCGGCCTGGCCGCGGGTCCCCCCTCCCCCCCCCCCCCCCCCGACTCGGCGGGCGCGCGGGGCCCCGAGGCGCATCTGCGCGGGAGGCGGGGGAGCAGGTCTCGAACGCGCCCTGCCCGATCCGCGCACCCGGAACCCCGGTGGCCTCGAGAGCCGGCGGAGCCGGGGCCGCGGGGAGCCCGAGGGGGACCCCGAAGGGGACCCCGAGGCCACGTGTCCGCTTCATACCACGCCGGGCCCGACGCGCGCTCAGCCCCGCACCTCCCGGGGCACCTCCCGGGGCACCTCCCGGGGCTCGGCTTCCCAGCGCCCCGAGGCCCGGGCCTGGGGTGGGGCCGCCGCGCCCGCGGGGAGCAGCTCAGCCCCGCTCCCCAGCGCGCGAGCCGGCGCGGCCCGAGGGAGGCGCGGCGGGGCGGCCCCGGGGCGGCGCGGGCGCGGGCGGGCGGCGTCTGCATGCGGCGGGCGCGCCTGAGCGCGGGCAGCGTGGGCCCGCGGGGCGGACGCCCGGAGGGGACGGGGTGCCCGGGAAGGTGCGACATCTAATGCGAGGGGCCGCCCGGCCCCCTGCACCTCAGCCCTGCGCGGACAGCTGGGCGCGGCTCCTTTAAGAGAGCGCGGAGCCCCGCCCCTCGCGGAAACGGCCTTTACCGACGCTCCTCCTGGGCTGGACGTCACTACGGGGCGGGGCCAATCAGGGCCCAGGGGCGGGGCCGGCCGGGGGCGGGGCGTCCCGGCGCGTGACGGGGCGGGGGCGGGGCTTCCGGGGTCGTGCTCGGGGCGGGGCTCCGCGCGGACCCGGCCGCCCTCGGGCCCCTCGGGGGGCGGCGGGGCGCCCGGAGGCCGCGCGCCGGGCCCGGCCCAGAAGGCGGCGGCCGTGGGAGGCGCTGCGCAGGTCCGGGGTCCGGCGCCGGGAAGCCGCGCGCGCCCGGACGGCCGAGGTCGGCGCTGCCCGGCCCCAGGGAGCCGGCGTGGGGCGGCGCCCTCGGGCCCTCGGGGCCGCCTCCCGCCCAGCCCGCCCTCCTGCGGGGAGAGCCCGGCCCGAGGCCGCCGCGGCGGGCGGCGCGAGGGCCCCCCAAGCCCCTGTGTGCGGGGCTCGCTCAGTGGAGAGGGCCTCCCCGTGGCTGAGGATGGGGGTGGGGTGGGGGGAGTTGCTTTCTCCCCTGCAGTGCCCAGCCCCTCGGCATCCTGGCGGTGTTTGTTCGGTCAATACTTTGTTTAAAATTGAAAAATAAAATCAAACAGATTTTATAAATATTTGAAGCCCAGCCGTGTGGCATTGTCCCATGTGTGGATTTCCGGTCCCATCCCCAGCCTGAACCCCAGCCCTGCTGTCCGTCTGCCCAGCTGCCCGGCGTCTCCCTCGCCCCTCCTGGCCACTCGGCCTGTCTCAGGATTAAGGTGCGGCCACCCCTCCCCCCTAGTGTGCTGGGTGGGCTGGGGATGAAGACCCTCACCTCGGGACAGCTGCCCGCCTGAGGCCGTGTGTTCTAGAAGCGCCGGGGAGCGCGCACAGGACTGGACTCACAGGGCGAGAGGAGGGTCAGGCGTAAGGCTGGCCGGTGGGCGGTTATGGATTGGGGAGCCTTCTCCTGCGACACAGAGCGAGCACTCAGGCGAGGACCTGAGGGGCCGTGAAATTGCCCAGGCCCAGCGTGGTGGGGGTGTGAGATTTGGTGCGGCTGGCGGTGGCAGAGGGTCTGGAAAGTGGGAACCCGGCGTAGATGCGCCAAGTATGGCCAACCCCCACCGATAACCCACTCTGTGGGGAGCCCTGGGGCACAGCACATGTGCTGCTGGGGGTCCAGTGGCCCCCTGGGCTGGGGGCCTCCACTGAGGTCAGCGCTGACACCAGAGGAGTGGCTCACAGAGAACAGGGGTGTCGGGACCCTGAAACCAGGAGGCCGGGGGGCCCAAGCCAGGGACCTACAGTGCAGAATGAGCGGCCGGTAGAGGGGCCTGGCTGGGCTCCAGTTCCAGGGTGGTCCACAGGACTGAGTGGCGAGGACCAGCGGGAGGGCAGGTTTAGAGGCCACTTCAGAGGGTGTCCGGGGAAGGGCCGTCCGGACGCAGGGCTGTTGCGCCACCAGGCCAGGGGCAGTCCTGAGGCAGTTTTCAGGCTGGGGCCACTGGGGGAAGACAGTGGCCAGGAGGCTTCTCCTGGGCCTTAGTCCTCCAGGCGCCGCCTGGGACTGTCGTGCCTTTGCGCTCGGTCCCACCCCTGCGTGGAGCCACCTCTGTGTCCACCGGTGGGCGCCTGCCCTGCGTCTCTTGGGCTGTCGTGATGGGTCAGGGGCGTGTGCCGGGGTGTGTGCGCACGTCTTTGCGTACATCTGCTCTTAACCCCCCTGGGGGTATGTTGGCGGCCTCGCTGGGTCATGCGGTAACTCAGTGTTAATTTTTGTGGACAACTGACCTGCTGTTCACATCCTACTAGCCGTGTTTTGATTTACAAGGTTTTGATTTCTCCAGGTTCTTGCCAACAGCTGCTGTTTCCATCTGTTGGTTTTGCTCACGTGGTGTGTGACGTGGCGTTCGGAACTTGCGTTTGCGGTCCCTTGGCCACTGATGATGCTGAACGTCTCTTTCTGTGCTTTTTTGTCATTTGTATATCTTTGGGAATGTATATCTGAACCCTTTGCCTACTAATTAGGTGGTCTTTTGTGGAGTTGGAAAAGTCTCTATATATTTTGAGTATTATTCCCTTATTTGATATATGGTTTGTAAATATTTCCTCCTATTCTAGGGGTTTCCTTTTTTTTAAAGATTTATTTATTTATGCATACAAGAACTGGGGTACAGGCCAGAGGTGTGAGGGGTGAAAGAGTGGGGAACAGAACAGGTGGATTGACTGAAGTACACTGCTGAGGGGAGCAGTGGGGAGACAGGGGAGGTCTGCTGC